ATGCGCCCCTGAACTGGCACCTGCCATCTCCAAATTATATAACTATTGCCTCAATGAATCTTGTTTTCCACCCTGTTGGAAGTCCTCATCCATTATTCCTGTCTTTAAGAACTCTGGAGACCCTTCTGACTCTTCTAATTACCATCCTATCTCCTACCACTCTTCGGTAAAGTTTTTGAAGCTTTAATCAACGCCAAAGTGGTTATGCACCTTACATCCCATAATCTGCTCTCTGACAAGCAATATGGTTTCTGCTTTGCCCATTCTACAGCTGATGTGCTTATGGCCATAACTGAAATTGTTTACCAAGCACTTCATAATAACAGAGAAGCTCGTGTGATGGCTCTTGATATCTCCAAAGTGTTTTGTAGGGTTTGGCATGTCGGCCTTCTTCACAAGCTTCAAGGTTATGGAATTACAAGATGATTGTTCAACTTAATACAATCATTCCTGTCGAACCGTACATTGAAGGTTGTTCTCAATGGATTCTCCTCCAGCTCCTATCCCATGAATGCAGGTGTTTCCCAAGGCTCTATCCTAGGCCCTACTCTGTTCCTTATCATCATTAACGATCTTCCTGATGTCATAGGTTCCCAAGTAGGCATCTATACGGATGACACTACTAGTTACTCCTGCCTCAAAAACAAAAATAGTGTCACCAACAAAACTAACCTGGCCATTTGTCTTGAAAAGGACCTCCAATTGGTTGTGAACTGAGGCAGGAATTGGCTGGTTAACTCTAATGCCTCAAAAACAAAACTGCTCTCTATTATTCACCAGAGAAAACCATCCCTGCCTCCCATTAGAATGTCTGATGCTCAACTCCACGAGAGCACATCTTTGTGACTGCTCAGTCTCACACTGTTCACTGACCTGAGAAGGAATGAATACATTGAGTCAATAGCTTCGTCCACCACTAGGAAAGTTGGCTCCCTGTGCCACGCAAGAAAATTTTTCTCATCGAAGTTGATCCTTCAAATCTACAAATCAACCATTCATCCTTGCATGGAGTATTGCTACCATATATGGTCTGGAGCCCCTTCTAATTGTCTCAAGGTCCTTGATAAAATCCAAAGACGTATATGCAATGTAATTGGCCCTGATCTGGCATCTTGTCTGCAGTCACTCTCTCACAGACGTGCCGTCACCTCCCTCTGTCTTTTTTCCAAATACTTTCATGGTAACTGCTCCGATGAGCTGCTTTCCCTGGTTCCCAGACTTCATGAATTTAAGCGTTCAACTAGGCTGGCATCTCGCTCACACACTTATACTGTCGAAACTGTTAAATGTAGCTGTCTCTTCTACTCCAGTAGCTTCATGTCTCGCACTTCTCACCTGTGGAACTCCCTCCCCATTTCTTGTTTTCCTGATAGCTATAATCTCCAACTATTCAAATGTAATGTCAATCAACGTCTCCAGATGCCCTGATCTATCCCCTAACCATCCCTTCATCCTTTCCTCTATCACTCCTCTTTGTTCTCACTCCAACACTGTAACCCCTTGCATGCTAGTGGCTTCCCGCCTTGCTTGAGGTTGAATGCTTAAAAAAAAAAATAAACAGAAGTGACTAAATGTTGTTGAATTTTTTTTTTATAATGTAATTATTATTTAAATTATTTTAGTTTGAGAAATCAATTTTTGTATTATATATTTTAAATAATAGAAGGTTATGAATTTAACCATTTCGTTTAACTTTTTAACATTTTTATAGCCATGGCTTGTGAAAGGAGTATTTCTTTCCGGAACTGAGATATTTGAAAAAGTCCAGGATGCAGTTTATATATTTTGATAAGATTCAATAGCAGCATCATCATCAGTACATTGGGCTTGGGAGGGAAAGCAGGATCATTGTCTTCTATTAGTTGATTCATTTGAGATGTGGTATGGGATGCTTAAATGATCAGTGCCCATCTCTTTATATCTGTGCTTGTATACACACAGAGTATAATCTAGGAAGTGATTAAATAGTTCTCATTTCCTCCTTGTCATACTCTTGATGATGTTTCAAAAGTTTCCGTATTGGAGACTTGCCAGACATGTATGATTTTGTGGATTGATATAATTCCTTTATTACATCTAGACATTTATTTGAATCAGAGTTTAGAATGCGATTTCTTACAGATGAGAAGAACTTTATTGATGTGGTCATACACTGATATGAGGTTAACCTAGCAAGTATACAGTTTCCTATTGGAGACGTATACAATTTCCTGTAGTTGTTTGACAACATATATGCCGTCATTACACTCATTAGCAAAATGAAAACCAAATTGATTTGTGAGGACTTAATTTTCATAAAATTATGACAGCTTACTTAATATAATATTTATTAGTACTTTCACCATAATTGAGATACCTCTGTATGTTTTAGGATCTTCAGGACTATGTTTTTGTTTTGTTTCCATAGAGCAGTAACGAGTAATATACCTCACTTTTTGGGGATGCCCTTCTGAAATTCATGAAATTAAGAAATTTATTTTTAAATTCAGGGAATAGGTTTGCTATTTTCAAAAGTTCAGCTTCAATGTCAAGCGATGCTTTATTATTCTTTAGCTTATTTTAAAACTTTCTTAACTTTTTCATCAGTAGGTTTATTATTGTTTATTTTTGGTGACAGACTTTGCCATGATGGGATGTATACTAGTGTATGTTCTATTTCCATTTAGAGGAGTATGATCAGGGTTGAAATATGATTCAGTATTTTTTGAGACCTGGCCATTTTTTTCTGTTTTGGCTTTGACTGTATGATGTTATCATGATTTTTCCCTTCCACATTTCGACACAATAGGTTGATTCTGTTTTGCTTCATTAATTTAGTTTCCAATTTTCCAGAGATATTGGTTTCTCAGAGAATTAAATTCATTTTTCTTTTTTATTTATTAAATTTTTAGTACTATCCCTTAACACTTTTTCCATATTCTATCATTAGGTTTTCTATAAATTCTATACATTCTATCATATATTCTATCATATATTCTATATATTTGGTTTTCTATATACATTCTATACATTTGGTTTTCTATACATTCTATCATACATTCTATACATTCTATACATTCTATCATTAGGTTTTCTATAAATTCTGTACATTCTATCATACATTCTATACATTCAGTTTTCTATACATTCTATCATACATTCTGTACATTCTATCATTAGGCTTTCTATACATTATATCATACATTCTATCATTAGTCTTTCTATACATTATATCATACATTCTATCATTAGGTTTTCTCTAAATAGATATGTCCATGTCAGTTTTTTGACATTCCTTGAATTTCTCTTTTAAAGTGTCTCATATAATTGTTTTTGATTCCAATTTGGGGTTTTTGTTTTTGTGTTTTCAGGGGTTTTGTTCATTCTTCTGTTCATTGTAGTGCAGTTTTGGCTGCTGTAATTAGATGTTTCCATATTCTGCACTGTGCACTTTTGTGAGTTTCTCATTGCTCACTAATCTTTTTCTGCTTTCTTTGCTATAGTCTGTCAACCTTGTCATATTATCAGTTTCCTTGGTTTTTAGTCTAAGTTTATGAGTTTCTCTTGTGTCCAATTTAAAAATAGTTGAGGTATCTCACAATGCAAATATCCTAATGGCTTATTCTTTAAGTTTTAAGATCTAATGTTATCTACTGACATGAAGTAGAAGGACTATACTGAATCAATTGCTATCAGCTGCTAGGAGAGTTGGTTAACTGTATTGGGAGAGACAATTTTTCTCACCAAAATCTATCTTACAATTCTATAAGTCTATCATTCAACTATGCTTTGAATATTGCTTCTACATTTGGTCTGGTGCTTCTGTTATATATTTATTATATTTTTCAATCAACTTCCCTGTGCCTTTTCTATAAATACTTTCATGGTAAGTGTTCTGATGAACTTTCCTCTATGGTATCTAGACTTTATAAATTTAAGTGCAGTACTAGATTGGCGGCTAGGTCTCATCAATTGAAATGGTTAGTTTCTTCTGCTAACAGTTTCTTCTGGTATTTTCCTTTTAAAAAAATCTTGATTTAAAAAAAAATTAAATGCAATGTTAATTATTATCATCTGTCTTCTGAATTCCTCAATATCCTCTCACACTGTGTAATCTCTTCCATCTTGGTGGCTTTATTGCCTTGCTTAGGGTGAAATAATTAAAAAATTTCTA